TTATGTTGTGCACAAGATGTGTTGAAAAGTTGTATGTTGTGTTGTAAGTTAAGGTGTTGTTGTGTTGTTTAAGTTGAAAGCGTTGATGAGTTATATTATGTGGTTCATATGTCATGTTCACATGTTGAAAATTGTTAATTTGGAGTTGTGTCAATTATGTAAGTGTTAATATGTTTTTTATGATAGTATAATTGTACTTTATTTTTGTACTTGTTGTGTTGTCTTTTGTAAGCTTATCCTTACATTTTTCTTATGGTTGGACTACAATGATCATATTTATTATGGAAGCATGAAAAAAAAAGGATGAGAAATTTTTTTTATTACTACTCTGCACTCTCTTTTGTGACTTCCTATAGGTTTTCGGATCATCTTGAGGTTAAGGAGAACCTGACTGTGGAAGCTACCCTGATAAGAGATGAGGATCGAATGGTGAAACAACTTAGGGGAAAGGAAATTCCTTTGGTGAAAGTTATTTGGGGAGGAGCTACACCTGAAAGTGCTACTTGGGAACTAGAGGAGAAGATGAAAGCGTCATATCCATTTTTATTTGCTTCAGGTAATTTCAAGGACGAAATTTCTAAAAGGAGGAGAGAATTGTAACACCCCAGTTTTTATTTCATTTTTTTATTTTATTTTAATTGAGGGTATTTTGGTAATTTTTATAAATGTATAGAGTTGATTTAGTAGCTTGGAACGGGCTGTTCCGGAATTGGAACGGGCCGTTCCAAACTACCAAATTGTATGTGAGTTAGTAGCCCTTTATGTAGAACCTGAAATTTAGCCAAGTTTGTGTGCCAACATTTATAATTTTTTGATTTACGAAGGATGTGTAACTACCTTCATCCATTTTATAATTTCACTAGCAAAATTTACTACAGAATTCATAGCAGAAAATTGTTAAAGCTCACAACTACATGAATAAAACCTCAAATTTCTCATTCACAAAACTGAAGCAATTATTTCTTCTTGCCCTTGATTTAAGTTATTGGGATTCAATCGCTGAGCTAGGAACACATTATCTACCTTAACGCCAGACTACCAATAATAAGATAAGAACTCAACTTATTTTTTCCATTGCTTGGAGAACCAATGGCTTCACCATTTTCCTTATCATCTTAATTATTTTTACTTTTATCAATCGAAACTTAATCAAACTTATAATAAACTTCTTTCACATCCAAATATCAAGGAATAAAAGAAAGCAAATAGTTGACAAAAGAAACAATACAATTAATTAAAATTCCATTAATAAATTCTACATATAATCAACTTTCGAAAGTTACAAGTGTTTTAAATTCAAGCAGAGGAATGCAGAGGAATTCAACTATGAGGTTGGCACTGATGGTAAAGTTACATGACAACATTCTAGTTGTAATCTACAGAGAAAGAATCGAGATAAAATTCTATAAAATACCTATTGACAAACTGGTGAACGTTCGAATACGAGGTGCTTCTTTGACATTTGTTAGCAAACTCAGTACTAATAAACAAATCCTACATTAGAATCAAGAAGAAAAAGAGTACGAGATAAAATTCGAAAGTAAAGCGCAATGAAGTAGAGGACTTGGGATTATATGAACCAAAAACCTAGATTAGAAGAAACAAATAAGCTGTAGGATATATGCAAATTCATGATGAAGAAACCTGTGAACGGAGACATGATTCGAGACTTAGAAAGGAGACATATTCAGAACCAGAACGGACACGAGCGAGGAATGGGTGCGGAGTAATTCAGAACGGAGACCTATGAAGAAAACTGGGTTCTGTGGCTTTTGGGGTTGGGTTGGGCGACTCTGATGATTAGTCCAGGTCCATTACTTCTTTTATTTTGTACACTTCCTTTGTATTTTTTTATTTATTTTCTTTTTGTCGTAAATACTTCTTTCTAGAAATTAGGTTTTTGAATTAAATTTTAACATTCTAAAAACTATTTCAGAATTACATTTGGGTTGCGATTAGGGGTGATCAAAATTTTCCTACCCTACAAAAAATGGTGAAAGAAATACATTTCGGGTTGGTATTATTTATGGGGTATCGGAAATAAAGGATACGTTGCAAGATGGCTAATTTCGTGTGGGTGTAGTGCAGGTCGAAATAAAGTACCCTGTCGAAATAAATCCTAATTATTTAATTCTAATTTTTAATTATATATTTTGTATTGATATTGATGTTCTATGAAATTAATTAGTCTTATATATAATTATTTATTTGTTTTACATGGATTTTTATTTATATTAAATAACTGTAGGTATAAATTTTGTAAATTTTTTACCTACCTAAAATAGTAGTAGGCATAAGTGTTTGAAGGCTTTTACCTACATTGACAATTTGTTGGTAGAAGAACTTTAAGTTGTATTGAGTTTTGCCTACAACAAACAAAAGTGGGTATATATTTTTGAGTTATACCTATATTAAACATTTGAAGGTAATTTTTTTTTTAGTTTTACCTACACTAATTCAGGTCTATAGGTAAAAGTGTCTGTAGGCACAGGTTATTTTTTTGTAGTGGATTGAAATGTTGGTAATTCCCTTGAGTGTTGGTGCTGGCATGTTAACCGTTTATGGTTTAGGTAGCATGTGAGTTTTATTTTCTAAGTATGTTGTGCTAAATATGTGAGTTTTTTGGTTTAGGATTGTAGTGGGAAGCTTGAATATGAAGTTGAGGTGTGAGTTTGGAAGGGTTGAGGTATTTTTGTGGCCTTAGATATATTGATACACTATTGCTGTTTGGTGTAGAGGATATTTTCGCTGCATTTTTGTTGTGCCCGTATGAGTACCATATTGACAGATTCAGATTTTATGATCTTCACAAAAGTTGTAACCTTGGACGTTATCTTTCCAATGGAACTAGAATCAGGTAAAACGGAGATCTAGAACTCCAGTTATAGCTACTTTGGTTATCAAAGGTCTAGCTGTAAGCGCTGAATATATCAGCTGCGGTTTTTGAAATTTTTAGCTAAGAAGATGATCTTTTTAGAATCTTATGTCTACTTAGGAGTTGTAGCTTATTCTCTTATCTTTCTTTCTTATTCTCTTAGCTTTCTTTTGAGATAGGTTTGAGATCATTTGGATGAGTATAACTCTCTAGGTATCATTTTCTTTGATCGTTGTTGAAGGGATATGTATGGTGTCATGATATTTTTGAATCGTTAGGCAATGCAAGGATAAAAATTGATTTTTGTCATGATTCTGAGATGTCATGTGGTTTGAGAGGTTGTTTAAGGTTGTATGATGGTAAAGTTGGTTCATGTACATGCTATATGGAGTAAATGGTGATTGATTCGTACATGCTTAGGAATTATATATATCGATTGTTTGAAGAAGGTATTCTAATATGATTTGATATGCATGTATGTTGATATGAGGATAGGTGACCTTATGGATCAATTAGCGGGCGTTTAGTAAAGTTAACCTCAAGGTGTGATATCATCAAATTAGAGTTGAGAGTGAGGATTTATCCTAGACAGTTTTAGGCTAAATTACCTAAGTATGATTTTTGATTGTATAAGACGAGTTTTCTAGGTCTTGTAATTTATAGTGGAGGTATAGCGTAGATCTATCTAAGGTAGAATTTGTATTTAAGTGGGAGATACCAAAGTTAGTTAGTGAGGTTAAGATTTCCACCTACACTTGGAGTGAGCCAACTTGAGCAACCATACATCACCATTCTAACACCCTTCCGCCACCCAAAAACACCTTCACGCCTATCGCCCCTTTTTCCACCCTAAATCTTCCTTTGTGTCTTCCCTTTGGTGAACAAGATCAAGGGCAAGGTTTTTCCCTTCATACTCTACGTCATCCATGGAAGGAGGAAGCCATCATTTCCCTCTATAAGTGCTCTTAGGATTTCAAAACATGCGTAATACAACTTAACCCCTTATTTTTATTTTTATTAAGTCTATTAGGTTGGACTCATAATTCAACCCAATATTCCCCACTTATAGCCCTTATTATTTTTTTAATTAAAAATAAAACATCTTTTTATCTCATAACTTGATGGATCTAAAATTATTATTTATTTAACAATATATGAAAATGGCATGTTAAAAGATTGATTATTTCTAACCGATTTTGCATATATGGACTCCTACAAAATCTGTTGGAAATAATCAATATTTGTATATACTTGACAGAATTCTCACACTTTGTTTGATAAAGAAAAAGAAAAGTGTAGAAAAGTATAGAGAATTAAAATAGGAATTAAAGTTATTGATAAAAAATAGAAAAAAATTAGTGAAAGTTGATTTTTTTAAAATAATTTTGTTTAAAAATAAATATATTATTGCTATTATTTAAATAAATATATTTTTATAAATAATTTAATTTAAACCTAATAAATACTTTTAATATATTTATTTATTATTAATATTATTTGAAAATTATTTTTTTATTATATTTATTTATTATCAGTAGAAGTATTTTTATTTATTTATTTATTATTATTATTTGTTACTAACTTTCTTATATTTCTAAATAAGAGAACTTTTTTGTGTCAAGTTTCATAATAATATCCCCACATTTATACAGTTATATCATGATAGAGCACCCCACTGACTTGAAAGTGAGCCAGAGCCATATTAATATAGATCCAAAATCCAAAACCCAAATGTGAATCAATTAATAATTCAAGTAAAACTATTATTTGCAATAAATTTTTTTTTCTTCTAAATTTTCGATTCAAACTATAGGTTCTCACCGGTTCGTCACAGTTTTTCTGAATGAAAAAAATCAATTTAAAAATTTCATAAATTTAGTTTAAATTTTTTCCAAATAATAAAAAATTGAAAATAATATAAACTTAATTAAAGTAATAAATTATTTTGATTTTTTTCCTTAGTAAATCAATTATTTCTCTTAAGAAATTGTATGCTCGTAGTTAAATATAAATTAGCTTATTTTTAAAAAAATTCTAAAAGGTAAAAAATCAGTAAATTATTATTTTTTTAATTTGTAATATAAATCAGCTCTATATAAAGAGGGAAACGCGCGTTCCAATAATTGGGCGAAGCGCTTCCAGCTCTTCCGTTGTCTCTATTCATACGCGAGCTGTCACTCATACAGAGCTCACCTTCAAATTTCAAACTCTTCCAAACTCCATTTTCGTTGCACTGTGCAATCCCACTTCGCTAGGTTTCAATCGTTTCATCATTTGAACAATTTTTTTTCTAATTTTTTAATTTTTTAATTTTTCTGGAATCGAATTGGGACGGAGATGGCGGCGTCGAACAGAATCGAACGCGCTCACCAGATGTACCGTGACGGCCGTTACGGCGAGGCGTTAGGGTTTTACACGGAGGCCATCGCCATGGCCAAGACCAACCCTCAGAAGATCGCTCTGCATAGCAATCGTGCTGCGTGCTATCTCAAGCTTCATGATTTCAAAAAGGTTCTCTCTCTCTCTCTCTCTTTTGAATCTGTTATTGTTATTCGGTTAGGAATTGGATTTTCTATGTTGTGTAAAGTGAGTTTAGTTGCGCCAATTTGTTTTTGTTTTTTAATTTTAACAATTTAATGATTTTCGTTTAATTGGAAATTGTTGTGTTTTTTTAATTATTACGAAAGTCCAGAAGGATGTGTAGGTTTCAGGGCATTGTTCAGGAGGGTGGAACTGTTTGATTGGTTAGAAGTGAGGTTATGAAGAAATAAGATTGTGATTGTGTAGATGTTTCTATTGAGTTTGGTTTGGCCGGTGAAGTTGTTTATGATTATATGCATATTATGGGGTGTGAATGGAAAATTGCTTTCTTGAATATGTTTGTTTGCTTCTCTTATGTCTCTGTGAAATGTGAATGATCTGCGGCTATATGTAATTGTAGTGGATCAAATGTTAACTAATAGAGTTTAATTTTGATTTCAATTGTCAAATAATTAAAATTCGTGTTAGATGTGATTTTTAAAGTGGTTAATGTAAGAATAAATGATTTTTAATAATTTATGATTGAATGAGAGTGTAAAATACTTTTTTACTGAAGGTGTAGTTCGATTAAATTCTTAGAAGTATTGGCTGCTTTGTTGATATTGATTATTGAATTATTGACCTAAGATTGTATAATTTCATTCTCTAATTGTTTCCCTTTTCTTATAAATTTTGTAACCCATTGGTTTGAAAATTTTCTTTTAGACTCGGTTTCTGTTCCAACTAATCCTTTTAAGATTGTATAATATCGGTTTCTTTTTGGGATACCATCAATCTTTGTAACTTATTTCAGGCAGCAGAAGAGTGTACCTCGGTGCTTGAGCTTGATCACAAGCACAGTGGGGCGTTGATGCTGCGAGCTCAAACGCTAGTCACTCTAAAGGAGTACCATTCAGCACTTTTTGATGTCAACAGACTCTTAGAGTTGAACCCTTCTTCAGAGGTTTATCAAAATCTTCAAGCTCGCTTGAAGACACAATTGGTAGTCTGTTATCTCTGCTGTTTTATATTTTCAATACAATTGCACTTGCACACCGGTAACTTTGTTTTAAGGCACTAAGAGATTACTTATTGTTGTTGTTCCTTTTTTTTTTTATTTTATAATTTTTTCTTAGGTTTTTCCTTGTTTTGTTTTTTCCTAGCCACACCGTTTCTTTCTCATCCAACTAGTAGGAGTGGCACTCGATAAGGGCATGTGCAAGTTAAAAAATATATCGTATTTTAGAAGTGTTAGACTCTAGTGTTTTAGACAGATATAGGGTGAGATATGTAGCCAGAGAAAGTGTAACAAGTAGGAAAATAAAAACTGGACAAAGGTGGGTTAGAGTAACCTGGTAAATTTGGTCTACAATTTTGTTCATGTAGACAATATTTTATCAGCTGGTAGTAAGAAAAGTTTTTTTTTTTTGTTTTCTTTTTTTATATATCTTGCTCAAGGAAAGTCACTTGCTCCAATACCAGAATCAGAAGAGGAGTTTGAAGAACAGGAAGATGAGGAGCCTGAAGTGACACCACAAGGGGATAATAAAAAAGATCATATTAGGACAGATCAAAAGGATGAACCTGGCAAAGGTGTTATTGCTGAATGTGCTCCTCATGAAACAGACCCCAAGTTTTCATCCAAGCAAGGAAAAAACCAAAACCATGAACCTAAGAAGTCCACAGCAGATGCTATAGCTCATGAAGCACCAAATAGGGACTCAACTGAGCAAGATTCAAAAGGATGGCAAACAATTCCAAAACCAAAAGGACATTCAGCTCTAGACTATGCACGGTGGGACAGTGTTGAAGATGATTCTAGTGATGATGATGATGACAATGAAGATGAAGAATCTTTGCCTCAGTACCGATTTCGTGTAAGAACAATTGGTGTCCGTCCTGTAAAGTGAGATGATTCTTCTGTACAGTACCTGTAAAGTGCTTTTTTGATCCTTAGTGAACATAAAAATGGCATTTAATGGGCGGGTTGCAATAGCTCAATCATGTTGTCTGCCATGGAAGAACTACGAATCCTAGAGAAGTACGGTCTGTACTATATGAGTTGGTTTCATCGTCAATGGAGATGAGTGAGCTATTTGAACTCCGAATTTCATATGGAATCCCTTTGTTTGAAGCTGCTGTTATCCTGATGTTCTGGTCGTTTACATTCGTTTGTGATAGTATGTTTAACTGTTTAAGGATTCATGTATCCATATTGGACCAGAAGTGTTGGGAGAGTTTTTCAGCTGCTGAAGCTCATATAGTGTGACTGAAACCATTGCAGCTAGAGCGAGCTGATCACTTTTCTTGGTGATAATATTTCTACAGCAATAAATAATATTCAAATTTCCTGATAATTAGTCATTGTAGAAAGACAATTATATGGTTGCAGCTGCGAGCACCCTTTTGCTGTTTCTGTCATTCAAAAGCAAAATGAAGTCATTCTAGTGAGTGGGATGATATTATGTTTAAGAACTGTTTAGTTTTTCTCCTTTTAATAGTGCAGAGAAAGATAACACTTACGATCGCTATCTTTGTAGATTCAGTATAGCTATTAAAAGTTCAATCTGGCTTTTTGTGTGTCAAAGGGAGCATTGTGGAAAAGTAAAAGGCTTAAGAGAAGTGATATTCTAATCAATTATCTCCTAAATAATATATTTGTTACTATTAAAAACATTTTGAAGTGATATACTTTAATTTGGGATCTTTTGTTACACAGAATTTATTTAAGGGGTTAGCATATTTTAAGAGAACACATAAAATTAATGCACAGTGAAACCTTTTTTTTTTTTTTTTTCTTTCTCTCTCTAAATACATTGTTTAGCACGCTACAAGTCGGGACATTCTATACTAGTCTTCTTATTTTAATCGTTAATTTTGTTATGTTGATAAATAATAGATGAATGTTTTCTATTTTTATTTTGAACAATCTTAGAGAGAAAAATGACTCCCAGGCAAGAGTTCTCTTTGTCAATTTTTTTATTTCTTTTTTGCATGGAAACAAATATTATTGATTGGTATCGGTAAGCAGGACATAATTGATTAGAATCAGTAAGCCTTGAATTTAGATACGTAACAGAAATATATTAAAGTGTAGCGGTATGAACATGGGTGTACGCGACAATGTTCGTTTTACGATACAGGGATGTAAAAATAACCACAGGTGTGTTGGGGTTAACACGATCTTGCACCGAATCGAAGGGGAAACTTGAAAAAACCAAGCACGACTGTGGTCGTGGGTGAGAACATGATCGTGCTCACCTTTCTCTGGTTAGAACGACCGTGCTGATGTTTAGTATGACTGTGCTAGTCCCCTATTGGCTACCCTATTGGCTACTTCAGCCTTTGGACTTAGCCTATGTTTGTATAAATGTATATATAAAGATACCTCAGACTTACTTATCCTTTTGTGTTTGGAAAATCGAAATTGTTTGTTTGAAACTTCTCAAACGAAAATTCAAATATACACTTAGTATGTGAGAATTGAAAAGACTTATAAAGTATATTTGATATAAATTATGGTACAAGATATGGAGAATACTTTTACAAAAATATTTAAGTTATTGAATAACTTTTTGTTTTATATATTATTTGATAAATAATAGAAAATATAAGCAAAATAATGTTAAATTTACTACAATATCATTTTTAATATTAATTATCATAATAAATTATTATCTAATGTAGACATTGATGACAATAATTATGATGAAGATAATAATATTAAAAATGACGACAACAATAACAATAATAATAACGACAATGATAATAAGTTTGTATCAATGGTGGTGGTCAACAACAGTGTTAGCAGGTGGTGGTGGTGGTGAGTTTTGGAGGTGATGGTAAGGACTATGGGTTGAGGTGGAGTTTGTACAATGTGATGGTAGCGAGTGTTTTTGTTCATGAGACAAAAATTTGTTTCATGATCTATTGAATAACAAAAAAATTGGACTTTTGTTCGGTCTTTCTTTATCTGATTTGTCATGTCCAATACTATAATCTTTAGCAAATTAAACGGGCCATAGTGATAAGAGAGGGGGAATTTAGGACCAATAATTGATGAAGTAATTATTTAATTAATACCTTGAGAATATAATGTAAGAATGATATATTATTACATTTGTTAAGTCCAACAGTAATTCTTAGCCAATTGTTAAGTCTAAGTGCAATGCTTAGTTAGTTAATAAGTTAGAGTATAATGTTTATCTGGTTATTAAGTCTAAAAGTTACGTTTAGTCAATTGTTAAATATAAGTAATACATTGTTGATTGAGACATTTGAATTGTGTGAACCATGTTGATATGTAACGTATATCATATGAATTTAAAAATTCTGTTTTTATACAAAATGTGTTATGAATTCCATGTTAGGGAGGTCCTTCAATGATCTAAGTATTGGACCTTGGGGTGAGCTTAGTTTGAGTTCCCATTTCCAGACATGTTGATTCCATAGTGTTGGGATATCCTTGTAAGACTTTGGATCCCTAATGAGCTTATGGTGAATTTTATCCTAGTGAAGAGTAGTAGTTTTGAATACGAATGTGCCATATGGTTGTCTATAATAAACTTCTTAAGTACGTTAAAAGAGGTATAATATGTCAAATTCATTACGAGTCTCTCGCTTAGCGAGACATGATTTTCTTTTAATGTCTAAATGCACTATACTCTGTATGGATCATACATTTAGCAAGAATTGAGTCTCACTTGGTGTCAAAGTATATTATGGTCATTATGACTCTTATGGTATGTTTGGATGAGAAATTTTACAAATTCAAGGAATTTTAAATTCTTGGTATTTGAATTACTTTGATTTCAATTTCTATCATTCTTAAAATATTTTGTTTGGATAAGTCAATTCAAATTTCTCAAATTTTAAATTGTTGGGTTGGATATGATAATTTGATTCCACCATGGTAAAATTGATTTTAAAAATATATTTATATGTTGATATTTTTAAATTAAATTTTATAAAAATAAATATTAGCTAATTTTTAAATATTTATAATAATTTTTAAAATTAATATTAGATAATATTTAATAATTTTAAAAATATTTTTGAATATTCAATAATTAAAAACTTGAAGAAATAAGAGATAAGATAAAATATATAAGTGAAATAAGAAAGAAAATATGAGGAATTTCAAATTCTTACTTTTTTGGGAGAATTTGAAATTCTACTATTTCAAGAAATTTTACAAATGCTTGAATTTCAAATTCCTTATAAATTCTCCATCCAAACAAGGTATTTCACCTCAAAAAATTTGAAATTATTCAAATAAATGAATTACTCCATTTAAATTCTCCATCCAAACACACTATTATGCTTAGTAAGATCGTGGTATTGCTTAGCACTTAAAAAAGAGTCACTCAACATTAGAAATATCGGTACTCTTTGTGACTTTCACACTTATTGAGGATGTAATCTCACTTAGCACTCGTGGATTAGAAAATAGACTTTGTCAAAATCTCTCACTTAGATGACAATAAATTGTATATTTATCTCCATGTTTGACATGTAGCAATGACCAAAGTCAATGCTTTTTTGATGATTTGTTGTAATGTTAATTATTTTTTATTTTATTTTTATTTTTTTAGCTATTGAATTATTTTTTCTTATGAACATTTTCTTGTGTTGTCACCTCTGTCTTCTAACTTCGATTTTCTTATGTATTACACTATTTCGAAATCATTGACATTAACATTCAATTTTATTTTCCATATTGGTTAACGTTTCCGATTTTTAATTATTATTTTTTCAAATCTACACTAAATAAACAAACAACGTAATATTTCTGAGTACCATCCCTATCAAATTTAATGACATTGGTTAATACTTTATTACAACCAATGTTAATATGAAACATTCCTCTAACCAAAGTCAGTCGAAAAATACACACTACTAGAATTTCTCTTATTATATACGACTTTTCTTGCAAATTTTTTATAAAAATTCATAAGAAACGTTGTTCTTACAAATTTTTCTGCAAAATTTTATCTACAGGTAATATCTTCGTTGATAATGTGTTTTTATGAATTTTAAAATTCACAAAAAATTTTCCTACGAAATTCTTTGCGAAAAAAATTCGCTGGAAAGTTTCCTGCGAATTTTTTCGCAAGCAATTCTGCACCAATATTTTTTACAAAAAAAATTAAAAAATTATTATAAATAATTCTTCAACTTTCAAATGCTTACAATAAATTCATTTAAAGCATTTGTTTCCACACCTCCAACATGTGATACACAATCTTTTAAATTCTAAGATTGTAGATTATAAGCCTAACACTCAACCATATAAATTAACTTATAAGGTAAGTATTGCCCCAACTTATATACTCTTTAATTATTTTATTTTTATCGATGTGGGACTTGAAGTTTTTTTTTTAATAAATATTATACTTATAAATTTAAATATTTTTTTGATTTTTTCCACGGATTAAAATTGGCATGAAAATCCCCAAGAAAAGTTACCTGCAAAATTTTTCTATCATTTAGTAAACATTACTTGCGAATTTATTTTTGCAAGAAAATCTGCAAGAAGCAAAATAAAATTCTTACAATATTTTCTACAAATTTTTACCATGGAAAAAAATTTCTATGATCATTAAAATTGTAGCAAAATTTGCAAAAATTTCTTGTAGATTATTTTTCATAAAAAAATTTGTAAGAAATATCTGTAAATTATTTTTCACAAATAAATTCGTAAAAAAAATTTTGTGAAATTATTATTGCAAGAAAATTCGCAAAAAAATTCTGTGAATATTTCTTTTGCAGGAAAATTCACAAGAAAATGATACTTTTCTAGTAGTACACATGATTTGTTTGATTAAACTTTTGAGAGAGAAAAAATGTAAAGAAAAAACAAGATAAAATTTTTCATAAATTAAAACTAATTTCTTCACAAGCTAATTTACACTGTTTTGAAAAAGTTATATGAATTATTTTTTTATAAATTATAACTTATGTATAAGTTAATTCTACCTTAATTATGAAAAAATTTATTTCATTTTTTGTTATTCTTTTCTTTTAGAATTGATTCTAGAAAAATTTATCCAAACATATTCATAGTTCATTTTATAACAAAATTATCTCGAAAGAAACTAAAATTATTTTAATAAATTTATTTTTCTAATTACGTAATTTATTATTTTCTTCAATCCTTATGAAAAACCTTAAACGTTAATTATTTGAAATGGACGGATAATAACATTTAACATCATTAATTGGGTGCAAAACACAGTTGATTTGAACTCATTTTTCACCCCTTCTAAGTGAACATCTCACTCGCATTTAATGCTAGTAGCAATGGTGATTTGTACCATTAGTCATAGGTCATTATCGGATGAAGACTTTGGTTAATGCTATTAATTCAATCTTGTGGGTGGTTGGAGCTTTAGGCACATGGTGGTGGTATCTTAGACGTTTTAATTGGGTGAGTTTGGGAAAGAAGATATGGTGCCACGAAAGAAGAACGTGGGAAGGAGAAAGAAGATCCAGAAACAGGAATCCTACTACAAAACGACAACATTTAAGGTCATGTTTCGTGGATCACCACCTGTAGGGTAATGTGTAGCAATCCAAGTACAAAATATTTTAAGATTGACATGCCTTTATCTTAATCTTAAGATAGAATTATATATTTATGTTTGAATATATTAAAATTCCAAATTTTCTACAGGTATTTTTACAAAACCACGACATAGATACATTTAATTCTAATTATTATAAATATATATAATTATGATACTGAATCATTAAATTTTTATTTTGACTAAGTTGATAGGCAATCGCCATAATAATTTATATATGTCCAATTAAAATATTTGGATTAAAAAGTACATAGTCATGGAACTTCGAACGCATAAGTAAAAACAAATTCATGTAATTCACCGACTCAACTTGCTTTAATCTAATCTAATTTAATTAAATCGTAAGGTTATAACCAGTGACGGATTCATAAATTTTAGATAATGGGAACAATAATTATTTATATATTTATAATATTAAAAATTTTATATATAATTTTTAAAAGTATAAATATATATATCATAATTATTTTTTATAAAATTTTATATTTATGCTTACGATTAAGGATGAAAATAAGTTAGGTCAGACTATGTTATATTATAATTTAGTAGGTTTGAATCTAATTTTTTTTTTAAAATAATGTTCTAAATATGACTTATTTATCTATTATAGACATTTTTTAAATATTTAGTTAGAATTACAATCTTAAAAATATACTTTGTAATAATTTAATACTAATAAAAACATAAAAATAATATGTTAAATTGTATAAAAATCAAGTTTAATTTATTTATAATATAAACATGCTTTTAATATCTAATATAATATTTTAGATAATAATTTATTTCAAACATATTCTATAACAAAATTTTTAAATAAAATATAAATCTTCCAATCTTTCCCATTTTGATTTTTTTAATCAACATATAGAATCTTACAATCTTTATTATTTTGATTTTTTTAATCAATGTATACATAAATAAAAAACACAAAAGGTAAATATATATATATATGCTACAAATTTTATTTTATCAAAAATTAAATTTTTTAAAAAAATTAATTCGTTATTAAAGAGTATTCTTTATTACATATGATAATTAATCTCCTTCAAAAATTTGATAAATATCAAATAAATATCAAATAAATAAACAACTATTTTAAATTTATATTTTATTATATGATAATTTAAATATATATGTTTCTTTAATTAAAATATAATTTTTATTTTTAAAATTATATTATTTTTTAGATAAAAAAATTATGTGTGTGTAAAATGGTAGTGAGGGCATGTGCCCCACTCTCTTCTATGTGGATCCGTGGTTACAATACTACAAAAAATATTACATACAATGATATACAAAAAATATCACTACAAATACAATATATGTAAATATATATTTATTTGACATATAATTACACACAATTTTAATATTAATTTTAAATAAAATTTAATAATATATTTTATATGTCACTATAACTTATATTTATATTTTTTTAACAATATATCAACATATATTATATTTATTATGTAGGTAAAAATAATTTTTAATGACACATAATATATCATTATATGACATTTTCCTTATAGTGAAACCACAAAAGTAACCTTATTTCAACATTCTTTGTATACACCGGTTTGTGTCAACTTCGATAATATAATTTGATATATAGTTGAAAGCATTATCGGTTTTGAATTGGCAAAATTTCAGTTTCTCAAAAGTTCATATCATGATTCTAGAGACTTAAAATTGATCCAAGTTATATATTGGAATGATGGGATCAATTCAAGAATATCAAGTCAAAAGATTATTACCAACAATTATCAAGATAATTTTTTTTTCTTTTGCAAATACACTTTATTGTAACCTATCATCAAAAGAAATAATTTGTAAAGTACACAATAATTATTTTTCTTAAGTTTTAACTTTGTTCTTGCATATTTTATTTAATTTATAATAATTAAATTCATAGATTATTAAATCCTCAATTAAGTGATCGGTATATAAATTAGTTATTATAGTGGTTATTGCTTGTTATAATAATAATATATTTGATAAATAAATTATCAAAAATTTCACACCCATTAATGATATGACTATAATAAATTATATAAATAGAGAGAAATTTTTATTTTATAAACTGATTTTATAATGTTGAATTAGACTTTAAATTCACTTTCTTAAGATAAATCAAACTAGTAATCAAATAAACAAACTCCATTTATTTTAATCAATTACAAGAGTTGACCAAGAACCAATAAATAAGTTTAACAATTTTGTTAAATCAACTCTTAAATCTTTAAAATTATTGCAAAGGCAGCCTTATAGAGCTCCACAAATATCTTCATATCACGAAAAACATCACTTGGCACTTTGTCATGGTAACTCTTCAAATCCGTGCGGCAAGTAACACCAAAACTCAAAGCTTTATCCACATAAGAACCAGCTTCTCCATATTTGTGTTCATGCAAGGCATTCTTAGCCAAAACTAACTCTTTCTCAGCAATTTTGAAGTCTTCTATGCATCTTTCACAAATGGACTTTTGATTTCCATGTGACGTGGAAGCCAAGTTTGTGATGTTGAGTTTCAAGGCATTTGCCTTGTCCATCATGCAATTCACAATGATTATGGCTATTCCAACACCATCAGCTTGCAATGACCCTTTAGAAGATCGCACACAACTCAAACAGGTTTTAGGTGTCTCAGCTTCGTGGCATAAAGTTTTAATCAATTTGTAGTCTGCTAGAACAAATTTTTTGGCTGGGTGAGTGAATAATGGTGGTGACAAAACGAGAAGTAGGAGAAGAACAATTGTTCTAGGCATGTTCACAAAAAAGGCCATATTATTCATTGGATTCTTGTGAATTAATCTAAGTGCTTGTTATATATATAAACTTGTAGAGTAATTTCATTTATATTGTTAGGTGAATGCGTGGTCAAATAATTAAGGGTTGATAATTAAAGAGTGAAAGCATAGTGGAATTCATTTTCATGCTTACACAAATATTTGTCATTTAAAAAAAAAAAAAACTTGGTGTAAAGTAAAGAATGTGTTTAAATGCGTGTGCTAGAAAAGTTGTTCCTAGCATTTTTTTTCTTCAATATGAATTGCTTCCACTTTCAAAAGATAAGATTATTAAATTGGAGTATATTAATGGGAAAAAATAATAATTAATGAGACTTGAAATATGTAATACATCAATAGTACGTACTTTTGTAAAAAGAAAAAGAAAAGGCTAAAAGATCAATATTTTTGGAATGGATGAAGAATTTTCAATACGTATCTCTTTATACTACGTTAATAAATGTTTTTTAGAATGTACGTGCAGAGAAAAATTATAAAGTTGGACAAAATAATAGTATAAATATTCTATGTGGTATATACGTGTTATCTTAAGTTTTCCTTTTTTTTTAAATATAAATCAAGTAACAATAATAGATAAAAAAGAATATTAAATTTATAAAATTAATTTTATTAATAATCTTCTTTATTAACAACGATATAACACATTAGCATCTCAAAAAAAAAAATATTATTAAGCGTATGCATATAATAAAACAAACTAAAAATAGTACATTTGAGAAATGTAGTTCATATGAATCATAAACAAATTAACTAATAACCAAATATAAAATTTTTATAATTAAAATGAATCGAGTTCATAACATGTTATTAATTCGATTTGAATCATTATCAAAAACAAGTTTTTATTGATGTTCGGTAATTTTAATTTATTTATTACAAAATTCTTAATTATGTAATAGATGTATAAATCGACACTATCATTTGAGTGTGTGAATTAATTGACTTTATATTATTCTAGCTTGATTAATAATCTTGAATTTGGGTCTCGAGTGTGCATACTTGAAGGATTTGGAGATACTTATAGCTTTTAAATTTTTTTGCATAAATTGGTCGCTGTAATTAGAGATTTGACAACCGACTATTTTGTGTCCTTAATTTAGTGACAAACTAAACTTGGGACCAAATAAATTAATTCTTAGTTAATTTTTTTAAATTATTTAGATCGTCTAATTTCATTATTATTATTTTGGTATAACTAGGAGGTATGACTCTTTCTCAATAGGTTAACCTATTTTATGGTAAATTGACTTCTTTAGTTGCAATTTCATATTAAGGTAAAAATCAAACAGTGGTCTATCTAGTTGAAATTATACTTACAATATGCATAGTTGTTGCCGTGTTGACATGCAAAGCAAATCTTTACTAGAAAGAATGCCAAAAACAACACCCTTTAGCATATAAATAAAGGGATGATAGTGTCTTAATTTGCCTACAACTTCAAGAGATACGTGTATTTGTATATCTCACCTCATAGTTGTTAGAAAAGATGACTTAACCAAGAGAGGAGTGAATTGGTTATTTAAAAAAATTTTACGCAATTTTCTTGATTTTGAAAAACTTTTCTAAAATTTGTATATTGATCTATAGTTGTATATAGAATATCAAGTTTAGATTCCATGCAAATTCAAATTCACTAAATTCTATATGCAATGTTCTTGCTTCATATCACATAACATTAAGCATAAAGTCATAATTGCAAGAATATAAATACAAGTAAAGGGATAGGAAAAAATGCACAATAATTTTATAATAGTTCAATCACATCCACTTATGACTTACATCCAATTCCCAATCAATTCATTTGAGATTTTTCACTAATCTTTAATATTAGAAGTTTTACAATCACAATTTCAAATGCAATATACTTCTACATTATCAAAGAAACCACTTCTTGTACCCCTATAAGCATTTACTCATAACACCCCATTACAATATTTTCCTTTCTTAAGAACCCTACTAAAGAAAAACAACACACAAAAGTTAAGGAACGAATTCACCTAATGTACATATAACAAATAAGAGTAGTGAACCAACCAAAGTAACTTATACGTACTATCACTCCATGAAAATATATGATGATTAATTCAATTCTTGAAATCTTTTTTGAGGTTACCACAAATATTACTTAATCTCTTCTTGCAAAGAAAAACATTTTTCAAAGAGTATTTTTGAAAAAGATATCAGAAAGATTCAAGTCTCTATGTCCTAAGTGTGAAAAATAATATATGTAAGTTTTTTTGACAGAAAAATAATTGATTATTTTCTTCTTAGCAAATAGGAAAATCAACCAATAATAGTTTAATAAATTATTTTGAGCAATAATTGATCATTCAAGAAACTAATTTTTGAAATAATCAATTATTTTACTGAATAATTAATTATTACAACAACGACTCTTAGGTTATTGAAAAACAAAGCAAATAATTGATTATTACTTGGGATAATCAATTATTTTAAGTGAAAACTTAATATCTTAAATTTTCATACCATTTCCTTTTACAAATCAATTTTAAAACTTATTTTCATTATCAATCATCATCTAGATAAAGATTTAAGGTTAAGTTACTTACCAAGTGCAAAACACATAAATAACAAAACTCTAAACACACAAACAAAATACAACTTGCACTCTTTTCTTTCAAGAGGCTCAAAATACAAAACATACAAGTTGAACTATTTTCTGTTAAAGAGCTTATTTGCAATCATCAAAACTAATAATAAGGACCATGTCTTGATCTTAAGCTTGAACAACAATGGTTATTGTCATCATAGAATTACTATGTTGCACTAGTAATTGGTCCTTTGATAAACAAACAAAATATACAAGTCTCGAATTACTTGTAATAACAACTTCAATTTAAATTCATTATTTAATGGATAATAACAAATTTTGAATTTAAATTCATTATTTAATTGAAAATAGGTGTTGACGAACTAGCATACATAAGTGTAACAATTTTGTGGCATCAAAACCCTTACACATAAAGCTTTTCAATTATTCTAGAAGCAGCCTCAGAGAGCTCCTCATATATCTTCATATCATACAAAACCCCATTTGGCACTTTGCTATGGTAATGTTCCAAATTCGTCCGACAAGAAAGATCCAAACGTAAAGCTGTAACCACATGAGATTCAGCATTGTCATATTCATGATTCTGCAAGGCATGGGTGGATGAAATTAACTCTTTCTTTGCAATGTGGTAGCCATAGTCGTTTGCACATGTTTGATAAATTGACTTGAGTTCTCCATGTGATGTGGAAGCCAAGTTTGTGATGTTGAGTGCCAAGGTATTTGCCTTGTCCTTGATGCAATCAACAACTATTGTGGCTATTCCAACACCATCAGCTTTCTCAGAACCTTTAGAAGATTGCACACAACTCATACAGGTTTTAGGTGTCTCAGAGTTGTGGCATAAAGTTTGAATCAATTGTTCATCTGCTACAACTAAATTTTTGGCTTGGTGAATAAGTAATGGTGGTGACAAAATGAGAAGTAGAAGAAGAACTATTACTCTAGGCATGGTGATAGAGAAGGTCATATTCGCTGTGTTCTATAGCTTGTGAATTCAAAGTAGTGTTATATATAAACTTGTAGAATACTTTCATTTATATTGTTAGGTGAATGCATGGTTATATAAGTATCTAAAGAGTAAAAGCATGGTGGAATTTCTTTTCATGCTTACACAAATATTTGTCATTTTTATGAAGTTTCCATGTAAAGAATGTGTTAAATGTGTGTGCTAGCCGGAAAGTTTGTTTCGAACATTTTCTATTTTCTTTTCATTATGAATTGCTTCCAGTTTCTCATATTATTTGTTTCTAAAAATAGTTAATAATTAATCAAATTATTATGATAATTTAGTTTTCTTTCAATTAACAAATTTACTCATATTACAATTGTAGAATGGTATAACAATTTCTTACTAGTTCATCTACGTAATGGTTGATAAAATATTATAATATAGTTGTAAGTTTAATTAATATTTATCGTAGTTTTCTAATAAAAGTGATATATTTTATAGAATAAAATTAAAATTTTGAAGGCATATATGATGGGATGATTGAGTATTCTTACCGGGTATGACAAAATAAACCATATGAATCCTAATAAAAAATATCTTTATTAAAGAGGCTAAAAACTTACATCTAATATTTCTTATGATATTAATATAATGATACTTTTTTATGTCACTATATATAATTTTTTTTTTAGTATTAACATAATTATTTATATTATATTAATTCGTATGACTCGGTAAAAATGTCTTATAATAAAGACTAAAGGGAATAGAAAATTAAGTGTATATTAAACTTAATACATTATGGTATTTTATTTTTAGTTTAGAAATTTAATTAAAATTTCTAAAAAAAATTTAAAAATTTATTGATATATTTATTATAATAGTAACCGGGAAAAAGATAAGATTTTTAAATCAAAGTATATAATTAATGAGATTTGAAATATGTAAAACGTCGATAGTACTTTTGGAATAAGAGAAAGCCAAGACGTCATAGTTTTGGATTGAACGAAGAATTTTTAATACTTATCTCTTAGAAAATAAGAAAATAATCTAATTTTACAAATACCTCGGTACTAAATGGTACTAAATGTTTTGTAGAATGTACGTGTAGAGAAAATTTAAAAACCTTATGTTAGATAATAATAACATAATTACAAGTGTTATCATATAGGTTTATTTTTAATACAGAAAAAAATTGATAAATAAATGGAAGAGAATGTTAATTTTATATAATTAATGATATTAATAATCTTATTATTAGAAACGATATAACATACCATCAACATTTAAAAAAAATATTATTATTAAGATTTTAAATATAATTAAACCAATAAAAAAATAGAATTAGTGCATTAGTCATAAACAAGTTAACTAATAACCAAATAAAACATTTTTTTATAATTAAAATGAATCAAGATCTTATTAGGTTGTTAATTAATTCGATTTCATTCACTATGAAAAAAAAATAGTATTGATGTTCGGTAATTTTAATTTATTGTTTATTAAATTCTTAATTAAGTGATAGGTGTATACAAAGGTACCATTGATTGATTGCATGGATAATCTAGCACACTATTATTCTAGTATAACTAATAATTTTGAATTTGTGTGCATATTTAAAAGAAAAAATTTAACACCCATAATAATCTTACTTATTTTGAACATGAATGTCTTAGAAGATATTTGTAGTCTATAAAAAAAATGTATAAATTAGTCACTGTTTGATTTGTTTGAAATCATAGTATTATTAGACAAAAAAAAATTATTTTATTTTTAATTTTAAAAAAATTCACAAGACAGAACAAATCTGCTAAGATAGAATAAGACAAAACTTTTATTGTTTGTTACATAAAATTGTGAGACTTTTTGTACTAATTAAGTATAAAATACTAAAAAAAAAAAAACTCACCACCACTTTGTCTCATCATACCATAACTGTCAATACCACTCATAATTATTATTGTTGTAACACTTTCCACATTGTTAACTACATTATTATTGTTGTTGGCCAACACCATCTCGTCCTTATTACTATTATCGTTGTCATCATTATTGTTATTAGTAGCTGCAATCACCACTGTTATCATCATCGTTATTATTTTTACTACTGGGCGCCAAAATGTTCCTGCGTAAGAACACTCTTCTCCTTGATCCTTCCTAGTTGCCTTCAAGTCCTTCTGAATCTTCCGTGCTGCCCGAACACTAGCTCCGCGTGGTGGGGGAGGGTACCTGCACAGGCACTCCGACGATCAAGTCAGTGTTCGGTTCAGAGCAATAAATGCATTAGCGGGAATAGTAACGTACCTCATTTATGTCACATCACCTGTGTATTTATAGTGATATGTGTGGGCCTGGTGGGCCTTCCTTCTTGGGAGGTGGGTAATACATGATTATCCTTAATCGTTGCTGATTAAGGACAGTAATTATTGTGTAACAAGTAATTATTGTCGAAACCTCATTCTGTCAGTTCTTCGGCCAGGCGTGCGGTCGAAGGGGTGTTCGGCCTATCCCAGGGCCGAAGGGGGTGTTCGGCCAGGTGCAAGACCGAAAGAGTGTTCGGTCTACTCCAAGGCCGAAGGGGTGTCCGGCATATGCCAATGCCGAGGAGGGGTTCGGCATATGCCAATGCCGAAGGGGTGTTCGGCATATGCCAATGCCGAGGAGGGTGTGTTCTGATACCAAAGGGATACTTGTCCTGTCCTTGGTGGTGGTGGAGGTATTGGGCCTATCCCAAGGCTGAGGGGGTGTTCGACATATGCCAACGCCGAGGAGGTGTTCGGCCCAACCTCTAGCCGAAGGCGTGATGTGTTTTTTATCGGCTCGGGCACCTCTTTCGACCTATTGTCTGAACGGAGTGCCAATTGGCGTCCTATCGGATCGGGTACCCCTATCGGCCTATTGCCTGACCGAAGGGGTGTCAGCTAGTACACTACCCCCCCAAGCCCGAGGATGGAAGACGTGGGGGTTATTGAGATGGTTCGGGATTTTTTTAGGGTTTTGATTTTGGGGAGTTGTGTGCTTCGGGGGGTGTGCCATTTTGATGGTGACCGTTGTATGCCATAGCCGCCTTTGGATTCCGCGCCCTAGGGTTGTGTCTATTCACCTTTAGGGGCATTTATTACGAGGCTCTTGGGTTATCGTGCATGGTCTATATAAGATATGGGGGTGGAGCTTCATTCTCCACGCTTTCTCGACACTTTCCCCATATCGTTTCTTCTCTGAGCCGAATACACCCCAAAGGTTGGTGTTTTTCTTTTTATCTTTGTTCCATTTTTGTGATAATGGCCACCGAAGGTGTCACATTGTCGTCTGGGTCCTCGGCCAGTGGTAGGGTGTCGGCACAAGATGTTGAAGCCGAGATGTTAGCTTTTAACGCAGAGGTGGAGGAGGTTTGTGGTCCAATTGGGTCAGGACCGGAACGTAGTGGGGATGGAGGGAGTTCATCCGGGTCAGAATTGCCCGACGCCGAGATGAGTCCCGGCGATTATAGACAGAAGTATCCTCCTTGTGATATACTCGGGTACGACTGGGTCGATGGTGAGGTGGCGGCGTATTTCTCTCGTTTTCACGAGAGGGCTGCCGTAATACGTCTTCTTGGTCTGTGCACGATGGGCCGATGGGAAGGTTGGGATCCTTACCCTATAATGTTGCGACGATGCCGGGCCGAAGGTCCAGGGGAGCTCGATCTGGTTTTTCTGGCGAAGCGGGAGGGTCAGGGAGATTTCTTCTACATGTACGAGTGTTTTTTTCGAGAGTTAGGGATGTCGCTCCCTTTTGATGAATTTCAGATGGGGGTTCTTCGTGTGTTGAATGTGGCACTGACCCAATTGCACCCGAACGCGTGGGCTTACATGCAAGCATTTCGGGTGCTTTGTAAATATCACTATATAGAACCAACTGTAGGTTTGTTTTTACATTTTTTCTGTACGCGACCATCCAATAAAACTGTGAAGTGGCTGTCCTTGATTCGGAATCCCGACCGACCGTTGCTGACACCTTTTACATCGTCCTTTAAGGGTTTCAAATCCGGGTTTGTGAAAGTAATCATAGACCCCGTTGCCGGCCGAAGTTATTTTTACGATGCCGAGCAGAAACCCCTTTTTCCCTTTTATTGGACTCGGCAACCTCGGAAATATGATGACTTTCCGGAGGATATGATGACTGATGCCGAGTTGTCGGCCTTAGACGTTCTTAAGGGATTGCCGAAGTGCATACCCTCTCGGTTTCTGGTGTTGCTGCCCAAATCGCCTCGGCCTCGTTTTGACTTAGAGGGTATGTTTTGTTACTTCCGATTGATTGTGCTTGTTAAGTTGATGTGTGACTTGTTTGATTTTTGCAGGTTGGATGGCGCAATAAGGATTGGGACTGTCGTACTGGCAATTGGTGAGGAGCAAAGCCCCGGCCGGGACCTCCGCCGAAGATCATCGTAGTGTTGCCATTGATCGACAACCTCAAACCACGGATGCTCCTCGGCCCACGCCCCCTGTTATTGCCCTTCCCGATTCCAGGGGCAGGAAGAGAAAAGACAAGGGGAAAAGGAGGGCCGATACCGCGGGTATGGAAACCTCTCGGCCTAAGCAACGAAGAGTGGAGGGTTCTTCCACGGATTTGGCCGTACCTTCAGCCATCGTCGCCAAGGACTTTTTATCGGAGGAGATCAGGCCGGCCCGAATGATGTCTTCTGATCTGTTATCGGCCCAAGGGCATATTATGCTCGATGCGGCCACTCCTTCGGCTCGGTGGGCGATGGCATGTGAGTTGCACATGAGGGCCACCGCCATATTTCGGAAGATGGCCTTGGAACCGATGGGGGACATGCATAATCTCGAGAAGAGCCTGGAGGACACTAAATCGGCTCTGCAACAATCCCTGTCGGCTCAAGAGACTTTATCCGAGGAAAAGGCGTCGTTGGAGGCCGAGGTGGCTCGATGGAAGGAAGCGTACGGTGGGTTGGAGGGCCGAGTTCTGGCGGCGGAAGATGCCGAGCGCATGCGGGTCGAGGAGGTGAAAGAGCTCCAAGCTGAAATGGTTCGGGTGAAGGCCGAAGCTGATGCTGCGATGGCAACCTTCCAGGCTGAATGTGA